GACTATGCCTTCCATACAAGTCCATGGCTATTGTAGCACCTGAGGAGGAACAGAGTAAACACTGCTGTCCATCACATGGGACCTCTTAATGTATGCCATCTAGAGCTATGTATGGATGTCTCCTATCCATAAAAGAGGGTGATTTAGCCTCATTTATTTGTACTCCAAGATGAGAGGGAAAATAACCACAAAATACAGACAAGAAAAACAGTTTGAAAGAGGAGCAAAATAAAGCAAGTTAAATGAAATTTACATACAAATTGCCAATGTAAACTTCAGTTTAATAATTTTTCATAAATAATGGAGCAAGTGTTAAATCTGAAAGGATTTTCCTAAGCCCAGCCTATCTCATACAGTATTTCAGTTTGGTTTTAATCCAAAAATAAATTACAGGAGTATGGAGTTCCACATTTGTGGTGGTTTTGCGTGTGTGTGTGTGTGTGTGTTTTTGTTTTGTTTTGTTTTGGTTTGGTTTTTTTTCCACAGATAAAAGATGGGTTTGGTAACAGTTGATTTTGCAAAATCCCCTTGAACCTAAAATTCGAGTTACTGATGGATTTTCAGAACTATGTGTAATTCTAAAAGATATAAAGGTTTTATTTTCAGTAATGCCTGTTGCACTTCACTTATCTCAGTCTAGAGCAGGACTGAGTCCATGACCATCAGAAATGTAAGACTGTAAGTGTGTGAATGTGAGGGAATATACACAAGGAGCTGATCTCTCTTGAAAGGAAGAGCTATACTTATCCAAGATCTGGCTGGGCCCCATGCCCAGTAAAATCAACAGGAAGGGCTTTAATAACATTCATTTGAGGGTTAACGGATTGGTCAATTACTTACCTTCCAAAAAAAAAAAAACTGTGCCTGGAAATTCTAATGGCTATAGTCAGATGTTGGAATAACACAAGCACAGTGTAAAAATATCAAATGCAGCCATAAGCACTGGGGAGTTTTAGAATATTTAAAAAAAACCAAAAACCAAAAAACAAATAAAGACAATAAAACTATTTCTTAGTCAAAATGTCACTGATGCATATGATTACCCAGGTGTATCAATGAATAAATATTTGGTTACAAAAATTTTAAGAGACAGCTGTTGGTTACAACTACTGCTCTGTAAGTGATGTGTATATGCCTCCATAATAAAACTGAATGCTCAAATGGGATTTCAGTCTTAGAGTTTCTAAAAGTTTGCTCTACAACGACAATTGAAATGTCTTTATCTTTTGCAGGTGGCTGTGTTAAGTCAGATGTGAGTTATTTTTGTGGCGTGGGCACGTTATTGTCTTTCACTTAAAGCCACAAGCTATACATTTGTTTTACTATAACACACCTAAAAGGGAGCTATTCAAACTTATTCACGGTGACATTTTAAAGAACAAAAGTGAGAAATTAGTGAAAGAAGTTTTGGTTTGGCTTTAAAGACCACTGCAAATTTTTCAGATTTGTCTGGTAGCAATAGCTCCAGTCCTTACAATAATTAATATTCCAGTCTTAAGTTTCCCTTTTCTTGCATCAAGCAGGTCCATTTGTCACCACTTTTCTAAGACCTTTTCTTTTTTTTTAAATGACAGTCATTGCAATTATTCTTTCTTAACTTCCTAACAGAGCTTAGGTTGATTGTAGTGGCTGCTACAACATAAACTGAAGCCATCTGTAAAGCTAGTTTTGAAATTAACACAATATGTTACCAAGATAGTCTTAAACCCCCCCAAAAATTAGATGTCTGATTATTTTTTCATCTCTGAAGTTATCTAGCCTGTCCTTAATACCTCAAAATCAAAACAAACCCCACTAATTACATGTTAAAGTTCATTTTGGTCTACCTTGGCGGAACCATGCATCATACGATTTTTTGTAGCAACACAAGTATAAATGAAACACATATGGAAAGCTGAGACACTCACCATACCAACAATCCTAAGTAAATAGTCTCTTAGCAGGAATGACACTAAGCTGCTTTATCAAGAAATAGTGCAACAGTTTCTTTGATATGTGTACCTATTTTTATGTATATATTTATTTATGTATATTTATATTTATGTATATATTTAATCTTACTATTCTATAAAGCTCTCTTTGAAGCAAAACTTAATACAATTAACAGTCAGGAGTTCTATTTTGACTAACAGCTCAAATGCAATTGAAGTAATAAATTTTTCTTCATAGTCATGCTTCAGGTTTTTTTGACACATTGCAAGTTTCAGCAGCTGGTTACAAATACGCAAAGAAATCCTACTACTCTAGGACACCTGTTACTTTATGTAGGATATCTGAGGTTGAACGAAATTTGGAACCAGAATTTAGTTCAGTGAGCTCCTTTCTGACTGTGGAATTCAACTGGATGCTTTGTTTTCCCTGCCCAGCTCTAATGTGCTCCTGGGCTATGTGTGCTTCAGCTGATCAACCTACACTGCTAAAATGACATTTCTTCACGTGATTGACACAGGACATGGGACCAGCAGGATATAAGACTGTGCTCAAAGAAAGGTTCACAGATTAGTCTAAGCCTCACTTAAAGTGAAGCAAGCTTTAGTCAGTGCTTTCCACCTATGGCCGTTGTGAAGAGATTGTGAATTGTGTTTTAGATGCCCCGTGTTGTTTCAGAAGCCCTTCACATGATCTGGAAAGGCATTCTGAACACAGGTACAGGACTGTTATTATTAGCCACTAGATGCCACCGTTGCTCCTATAAAAGTGGTCCACTCTGTATCTTTGTTAAACCCACAAACCTTCAACTGATTTCCCCACGGTGTATCAAAATAGTGGTATAGCACTGAACTAAAAATATAAATGTAGATTCACACCTTATACTCAATTCCCTCACAAACTATTTTGGTACTCACAAGACCTTAAGGTCCATTTTCATCTTGGAAGTGTTCAAAGGGCTTTATGGTCACCTCTCATGGGTCTGCCTGCTCTTTCTGTGACAAAAATAAGAGCTGTCAGACCTAAGGAGTTGGCACAGCTGACACTGACTGGAGTAATTTCAGTATATGCATAAGCAATGGAAGTGGCTTAGTGTCATACATTGTACCTCTGCAACCTCATAGCAGTAAGCTGTCTGAAAATGTAGGACACCATTACGATGGGGCTGTGTAGGTTTAGAGGAGCCCTTACTACTGGAGATGGTACTGCACATGACTCACAAGGGCCCATCAATTCCCAGCTGTTTGCAAGGAGCTGGGGAGAAGGGCTGGGAGACAGCATTTTTAAATGCAAGACTCATATGGAAAACTGAAACACTTATAATACTGATGATTCTCAATGCCACTGTAAAGGTTTTCTGCAGGACATCCTTCCTACTTGTCTGTTGGTAGCTTGGTAAAGACAGACCCAGGATTGCTATCATGTTGCTCACAGAACATCTCAAGTGGTGTTTATATGCCTAGACACAATGCTTGGATTGTTGGTTTTAGTGGTGACAGCTGGAGTAAATACCTAGTGCCTTACTGTTTGGTGGCATAAGTTCACCGGCCTGTGTGCACATGGAGAGGAAATTCATGATGGGCTGCTTTGGAAAAGATATTTCATCTTGGGGAAGGCACAGGGTATGTTTACTGAGGCTGATACTTCCACATCCCAAAATCCGGAAAAGAACACAGAATTCTCACTGAATGTGGTGGAGTCATATGGAAAAATGCAAATTGCTTCAGCTTCTTCACAGTTAAAGACAATGAAGAGTAGATTTTCTTAGTTAGGTGAGCAAAGTGTTATCTTTTTCCAAAAAGGCTTGAAATTTTCCTCTCACTATTCCCATACTTTTGCTAGCATCACACAAAAGCAGCCTCCATACTTCAGCTCTCACCTTGACATATGTGTCTGACAATTGATAAAGTCGTATGAAGTGACCCACAATGTCACAGACTTAGTTATAAAACTGAGTGGTTTTGCTGAAAAACTGTTCAATATACGCTACTGGATCTTCTGTTGCTTGGATGTATTTCAGTGAAACAACGAATGGATGCGATGAGTAGTTTATGGTTTTCGCTGGAGATGGGCATCTTGCACAATTAAATAAGGGATGCATATAAATATGGAGGATAGGCAGGGAAACTTAAACTTCAAAATTAAAGCTGTCCCTACAGGCACAGCGTCCTGGTCACTTAATTCCTGCCGTCGGTCATCCCAGGCTGTGGACAACGCCAGAACCCTGAGGTCGGGAATGCACGCCACAGGGAAAGGCGCTCTTCGCTGGGGAGTCGTTGAATGTCCGGGGCGGAAAGCAGAGGCCAGAGTGGGGGCAAAAGAGACGGCTTCCCGACGCGACAGCCCGGAGCTGCCTCGCACGATCCCCTCTCTGGAGAAGAGCGCCGGGTGCGACGGTCCGGCCCGTGGCCACCCTCGGGTGATGCGGCTCCGCGCCCGCAGATGAGCCCCCGGCGGGAGGGGGACACACCAGGGCATCCAGAGCACGGCAGACACGGGGACACCACCACCCCACCGCCCCGCCCCACCCCAGCCCCAGCGGGAGGAGGGGTCGCGGGCGGGCGGTGGGACCGGGCCGGGGGCCGAGGCCGCGGCGCGGGGGGATCCGAGAACGGCACCTAAAAAAAAAAAAAAAAAAATCGTTTCCTTCCGGAGCGGCGGCGGCTGCCCATCGCCCAACGCGGCTCGGGCACCGGCGGCGCCCTCCGGGGTGAGGCGCTCGGCAGCCGCGGAGGAAGGCGGCGGGCGCGGAGCGGGGCCGGGAGCCGTGCGGCGGGGGCTGAGCCGTGGGAGAGGCGGGAGGGACCAGGCGCCGCGGGGACGAGGTGCCAGCGGAGCGGAGGCGCCGCCGCCGCCGCCGCCGCTCTCGCTCCGCCGCCCTCCCGCCCGCAGAAGTTTTGAGTGGGGAGCAGCGCAGCCGCCCGGGCCGGCGCGGCGGGGCAGGGCAGGGCAGGGCAGGGAGCCGCGGGCAGGAGGCGCCGCGCCCGGGGCCGCCGCGGGGACGGGGTCGCCTCCAAGCGGGACGCCGGCGGCGGCAGCGGCGGCGCTGCGGGAGCCGCCCCGCCCGCGACATGGCAGCGCGATCCCGGAGACCCTGGCTGAGCGTGGTGCTGGGGCTGGTGCTGGGCTTCACCGCCGCTTCCTGGCTGATCGCCCCGCGGGTGGCCGAGCTCAGCGAGAAGAAGCGGCGCGGCGCCAGCCTCTGCTCCTTCCACGGCCGGGCGGCGGGGCCGGGGGCAGCGCGGGGCGCGGCGCCGGGCGGGCAGCAGGCGCCGCCGGAGGCAGCGGCGGTGCTGGGCGGCACGAGTTTCAGGAGCAGCCCCTGGGAGCTGCCGCCGGCGGCGGCGGAGGGCACGGTGTCCAGCCCCGCCGCCGGCGGGGAAGGGGAGCCGGAGGAGGAGGAGGAAGGCGGCGAGAAGCGGAGCGGCCGACCTGGCGGCAGCCACAACGGGAGCGGGGACTGGGGGGGCGCCCCGGGCTGCGCCAAGCCCCGCAACTTCCTCTACGTGGGGGTGATGACGGCCCAGAAGTACCTGGGCAGCCGGGCGGTGGCGGCGCAGCGGACCTGGGCGCCCTCGGTGCCGGGCCGCGTGGAGTTCTTCTCCAGCCAGGGCTCCGCCGCGCCCCCCGGGATGCCCCCGCTGCCTGTCGTCGCCCTGCCCGGCGTGGACGACTCTTACCCGCCGCAGAAGAAGTCCTTCATGATGATCAAGTACATGCACGACCACTACCTGGACAAGTACGAGTGGTTCATGCGGGCGGACGACGACGTCTACATTAAAGGTGACCGGGGCGCGCCCCGCCGGCGGGAGGCAGGGGAGCGGTGTCTGGGAGCCCGGCGTGGTCCCGTCGTCGGTGGAGGGGAGAGTCGCTTCCCATCTGGGGCGGTGAGCGCATGGGGTATCTGGACCTGCCCCCGCCCCGGCGGCGTTTGCTTCCAGCCGCAGCGTGCGGGCCATGCAGAGCCGCCCCGTCGCTGTGGTCCCCGAGGGAACCCCGACGTGCGGAGGCCGCGACGCGTTGGAGAGCTGCGGGTTGGACCGCGCCGGGCACGGCGAGCGGTGCCTCGGGTGGGCGTGGGGTCCCGGTGCTGGGGCGGCCGCCGCGCTCGCTGCCGTCGCGGCCGCGGCCGCAGGGTGTGTGTCTGTCGGTCCCGCCTCGTCCCGGCTCCCCCGGCGGGGTCGGTGCGGGACTCCTCGGGAGCGGTGCTGCTGTCATGCGTCTGCCCCGACCCTGGGCTCAGCGAACGCGGACCCTGCGTGAAGCTGCTGTTCAGTGCAGGGCGCGTCGCCGGACAGCAGCATCCCTGCTCCCTGCGACTTCCATAGCACCGTTAGGACGTGATGCTCTGCAGCTTCCTTTTGGTCTGCTGTTGCTCTGCCGTTATTCTTGTCGCGTCCCGCGCTCAGGAAAGAGAAGCTGAAGTTGTAAGCGTAAATAAGCCCAGGTTGTCAGCTTGGTTGCTTACAGTGTTTTAAGTTCGCTGAAGGTTCCTGTACCCTTCCCAGTTTGTCACTTGATTTTGAGTCACTTAATATGCTTGGTCATCTGCTGTCTTTCACCTGTCAAATATTGGCACATGTACACTCGTATATGTGTGTCTATATTCAGTTGCAGATGTAAAGTTGTCAGTGTTTTGTTTGGGCTCATGTCGAAGTTGTAATGAACCTGCCTTTAGCTGGTTGCAGGGTACCAAGTTAAGCCTATCCAGAAACTTTCCATTTCAAGTAAACATGAAATCAAAATTTCTTAAAAGAACTAGGCAAGGGGTTTGCAAGAAAAGAGTGTAAACACTGTAGCACTGGAAGTAATTTGAAAGGGACCTGAGCTTTACTTTTTTTTCCTGAAAATTAGTCTGTAATTAAATGTATTTTGCTTGATTCAATTAGATTTACTCTGCTTCCCCAACCTGGAACCGTATTGTCCAAATTATCTGACTTTGGAGAGAGTTTTAAGCTAGCAAGTGAGTGCCTTCCATCAGTATTGGTTGATTAGAGCAAACTTTGCTGGTTAAATTTAATTTTGATCATATTCTGACTTTTGGCTGAAGGAAAATTTAATTGTAATGTTAATTAAAAAAAGTCCTCAAACCAAAAAAAGTAAGTTTGTCCAAGGATATTTTCAATTAGATGTAGGATTCTACTTTAGTAGAGATTTCCTATGACAGCCTCAGGTGCCTGTTATATTTCTGTAAAAGCTTGAACTGCATGAAAAGAGATGGCTGGCAGAGAAGTCAGAGAAATAACAGTAATCTTTTTTTCAGGTGAAAAATTGGAGGAGTTTCTTCGCTCACTGAACAGCAGTAAACCTCTGTATTTGGGGCAGACTGGTCTGGGTAATATTGAAGAACTTGGAAAACTTGGGCTGGAGCCTGGAGAGAATTTCTGCATGGGAGGGCCAGGAATGATCTTCAGCCGGGAGGTTCTCAGGAGGATGGTGCCACATATAGGTGAATGCCTTCGAGAAATGTACACTACTCACGAGGACGTGGAGGTGGGCAGGTGTGTCCGAAGGTTTGGAGGAACTCAGTGCGTTTGGTCGTATGAGGTAAGTGGTGGTGGAAATTGCAGTGTGCTGTTTGTTGACGGAGTTTTACGCCTTGCGATGTAAGTGGCTGTATCCACAGTACCTTTCCACCAAAATTAAGTTTTAATGCATGCATCAGAATGTGAACTGCAGGCTGTTAAGGAAAAAAAAACGAAAGGAGAGGAAAATACTCACAGCATGTTGCTGTAAGCATATTATTTCTACTTGTGTCTTTCAGTTTTCATTGGTGACAATTATTGCAGCCATGTCTAAGCATTGGTATGCTGTAAGTTGCTAGAGCATTACCTTGAGAGTTTTTACACATAACCCTCGACAGGGAGCTGCTGTATTTGATGTGTGCTGTTCAGGTTGGATCTTTTCAAAGAACTTGGCATTGGATAAGCACGTGGCATATCTGTTTGTTCTGCATCACAGTCTTTTAAAATGTATCTTAATTACTCAGATATATTTTAGTGGAGTTCATTATTGAACAACAGGGGTTGTTTGGTTGGGGTTTTTTGTACAGAAATGAAATTTCAGTGCACTGCCTTTGTCTATGATACAGCTTTAATAGTGTTTTTCCTAGTAGGAAAGTGTAGAGCAGTGTTAAAATATATTAAGGACATATGTAGTACAACAAATTTTCCTCTGCTGAAGTAATTTTAGGAACAAATTACTTCATTCAGTAGTAGCATTTTCTGAAGTCATAATGATGTGTTGCAGTACCCAAAAAGTTTATGTGCAATGCCATAACTAAAATTCAGACCTCTTTCTCTGAAAATACTGTGATTACTGGCAAGACTATCTTTGTAGATAAAAATAGACTAAGCATGCAACTGCCAGAAGGTGTAAAAGGTTATAGCTAATATGATGAATATGATTTTAGTTATTTTGACCAGTTCTTTAATATTAATATATCCTTGCCCATGTGGCACTCCCTCATTAAGCAGGAAAAAATCATTTAAATGGGCCACAGTAAGAGGTTATGTGGTATTTGATGACAAAAAGACAGGAAAAATGATTAATTTTGTGGATTAGTGTTTTTCTCAATGTCCCAGGGAAAGGTGGCCATTTAAAAATGGGTTTGTTAGGCTACAATGTATGTAAATATGTGAACGAAAGTGACTACTGGATAGTTAGTATCAGTTAGGTAGAAAGCTCAAGTGGGGAAGATCATCTCCTTAGGAATGCAAAGGTGTCTTTAGCGACTATTTTGATATGTGTTGTAAATGCCCATGTGAAATAATACACCCATTGCACCAGTACACCTGGTAGAGCAGGGAAGGCATTTATGGTGCTGATGGAAGTTGATGTAGCTCCTTAATAAGTCATCCAAACCGCATGCGACATTGGGAGCTTAATCCTACACTCAGATGTGTTTGGGCTACGTCTGTACAAAGTTTTTTTCCAGTCCTCACGGGCACACGGTTGGCAGAATTATGATTCTGCCTTTACAGTTGTGCCTTGGAAGGGGGTTTGGTTTGGTTTTGTGTCTCTGGTTTGTCTGCTTGGTGAGAAGTCTGGAGAAGGGAAGAAAACTGATAACAGACAGCGTTATCACTGTGGATATAATTTCTTTTGATGCTGAATGTCAGGAATTGTTGGCTCCAGGTATGGAGCTTAATGGGGATGGAGAAAAAAATACAGTTTTGGAGATTAAACTGTATGACTGCCCAGAAGCTCAGATTTTTGTGGTAGGATTGGGGCCTGAAAACAAACTTTTTGAAAAAAAACATGTTTTTATGGGATCTGGAATAGAGTGGCACCAGTCCTGTCTGTCAGTTGCCCTTGAAGGACCTAGGTGTAGGTAATGAAGAATGGAAGAAGAAGAAAAATGTGTTGGGCTTTGCAATAGCACCTACTCGTTTCTGACCAGTATTCCTGTCTGATTCTGAAGAATCTTTGACTCTGTTGCCAGTACAGAAGCTGCTCCAGAAAACGCAGATGATTAAGACAAAGCTGCTTAGAATGTTATCCCAATGTTAAATCTATATGAAAAGGAAGGAGTGAAATAGGGTGTCCGGAGAGAGAAGCTGCAGTTATGCTTTGGCATAGTCTGTGCTCTGCAGCAGTATAATACTGCACCTGAGCAGATCCACGTGTTGCAGATTGTTAGATTAGGTGGTTGCAAGGGTGATTTTTTTTTTTTTTTTTTTTTTTTTTTTTTGCTGTGGCACTGAAACTGTGTTACTCTGTGCTTTTTCCATTCCTGTGTTAGGTCAGAAACACTGTGTGCTAGAAAGGGAATATTCCCTCAGATGCATGTGTTGCACTTTTGTCCTGAAGTCCTCTTGTAAGTATTAAACTGAGGCCTGTTGAGATGCAAGATTATTATGAACTTAGTTGATTTTGGTAAGAAGTATAATTTGTATTTTGGATGTGCTGCTGAAGGCTATATAAACTGGAAACAATTTCGTTAAAATTCATAGAAGCTTTTCATCTCCAGAAGAGCTGAATCACTGTTTCCTCATTTTTTACTAGATTTCTTTTCTAAGAACTGGATCGGAAAGTCTCTTTTTGGTGAGTTTGAAATAAATCGGAGTTAAAGAGAAAACCTGAAATGCTTGATCTTTTCTGGGTGCCTCAACTATTGTAGTGAGGACTGGCTGCCTGTCAGAGCTTTTTCTGCTGCCACTTAGGGTCAGCAAGTAAGCATTTGGTATCTTATGTGCATAATGGTAGCTTGTATGCATAATCTCCTTGCTGGCAAGGAGAGGGTTACAACTTTTACTTTATTTTTTCCTTGTCAAGTTTTTTTTGTTGTTGTTGTAAGAATGAATAAGAAAAGAAGATGTATGTGAGCCTACAACGAGCGACTCCTCTATCTGGGACTCAGCAAAAAGCCTTTTAGTTTTTGTAAGGTTTTAGCATTGTCTGCTTCCCCAAATCAGTAACTGTGGAGATTAAAAGAGACCTTTTGCTTTTGTGCTTTGAAAATACATATTTCAAGCTATCACTCTCTTCCAGTAATTTTGAAGCCTTGAAATATTTTCCTTTTAAAGGAATGAAGAAATTAGATTGATTTTTTCGTGACTCATATGTGTTCTATTTTTTTTGAAATAAAAATGTAGTTAAAAACCTGAGATGGTGTGTTGTTCCTCACTTAGCTTTTCAGCAGGGATTTGACTATAGAGGACCATTTGGAATAAAGGGTTGATTGCTTTGCTTTTCCCTGTCTTTTTTCTTTCTTTTCTTTAAATTATCTGTTTCTAACAGAGCCAATAGTGTAGTTCCAGAAAAGGACAAAATAAAATGCTGTGTATGAATGAAGTGGCTATAACAATTGAAGCAGAACTCAAACATTGTCAGGGTGCAAATACTATCAGAGAATGTGGGGTTTCTTTTTAGAAGATGAAAAATGACAAATGCAGCAAAATGTCTAAACACCATTCATTGGTGAATTTTAACATCTATTCAAAGAAATGTTTGTGAAGTTTTTCCTTTTGTGGCCTTTTTTCGCTTTTTGTAGGAGAAAATAGCACAGACTATCTCAAGTTAGAGGGGAGCCATAAGGACTATCAAGTCCAGAGTGAGCTACATTCCTTTTATACTTAAAAACTGCATTTATTCAAAACACCCTGTATACTTTTGATCTTTAGGTAATGTGTATGTTGATGTTGAAAGAAAATATGGTACTTTATACTACAAGCAGTCCACATTATTGATATCTCTGTTTTTTCCATTTTTTTTTTTTTCATTTGTCAAACTTCTATGAGAGCGGTAGAATACAGTCTCATTACTGTAACATTTTTTAAATAAAATAGCTCTTAATATCCTATTTGTTTTTGATTCCTAGCAGTTACAGTAAATATTACAGTAAATATCTTGGGAAAATGCCTCTTTGGATCAAATTGCGTGCTCAGAAACATTTCCTTTACATTGGTATTTTGACTGTCTCCGGAGGTTCTGGAACCTTTGTAAGCCATCTTCTGTCTGCTCTAAAAATACTTTATATTTTCCCGTTTAATGTAATTTTGCTTCCTGATGCCATTTAATTTTTCATTTGAGGCTTTATCTCTTGCTTTGATGAAGATGTTGGTGGATCACTACTAAGCTTAAGAGTTCAACGCTACACCAAATGAAGCATTAGAAGTGCTTCTGCCTTTGATGGTGACAAGATGGTATTTTGGGTATTTTGCTCATTTGGGTGCTGGACTGATCAGTCTTGAAGCAGCAGTACCCACCCACACTTAAGCTGTTGAGTTTGGGCAGCTTCATTATGTAGTTACATAAATGCAGCCATAACTAAAAAAAGCCAAAACCACAGAGTGAACTGGGAGTGATCCTAGAATAAAAATGCATGGAGGAGTGTACCCCTGTAGCAGGCGTCTCTGAGGCTGCATGGAGAGGAACCAGGTGATTCCAGAGGCCTCAGAACTATTTGCATAAATGGCCAATTACAGATACAGGATTTTTTTGTGTGCTGTCTTAACTGTTTGCTGTTAAAATCTGTCTGATAACAGTGATGTTAAACGTACTTGTAAAACTTGTGATTCTCACCTGCTTAGCACAGTTCTTTATTTTCATAGTATTGTAATAAAGTGTTTCTGTGATGAATAAACACATGGTGCTAAATTGGGTCATTAGTCTTACCCTGCTCTTTCTCAGGCTTTGTTGTTCATTTGCTCTTTTACTTGGAGAATCTGGAGAGACTGCTTAAGGTCACTGCCTCCTTTGGGTTTGTGTACCTGGGGACTCCCTGACTGCTTGCTCCTTTATTCTTCCATGGTCAGCTTGGCTGGGAGTTGAGGAAGTCCATGGTGAGAAAACAGAGTTGTCCCTGGTACTTCCATGTTACTGAGCTGTGTTTCCTCATGGGGCTCAGCACGATGGCAAGAGTTGGAGATATGTTTTTTTGGGATCTTTATTGTGAAGGATATCGTTCCCATAGCTACCACAGAGAAGTGCAGCAGAACACACAAGCCCATGGCTGTGGTCCACTGTATAGTGGCATCTGATGTGTAGAGACAAGAGCTGAGAGGGCTGTTTCTCAGCCTGGTTGAGAGCAGGGTTCTCTTATG